CGCAGGATTCAGCTCAATAGTGGCCCATCAGCGTTTCCCATGCACTTTCTGACTCTTACCTATGACGAATTTCACCATATGTGAATTATGTAAAGAATATTTTTTTTGAGTTCTAAGTTAGCAGAATTTGTGGTGAAATCCTTACAGGCTTTGGAATAAGCATTGTCGGTTTTTCATTCCATATGATCACGATAGTTACTTAATTCTGGCCAAAATTTACTTAAATAGGTTATGTCTGGATTGCTTTTGATCAATAAAACTTCTCCGTTTTTGGTTGATATTTTACCTAGTGATATATCGGTGAGATTACTTGCGGAGGATTCGTCGCCCGAACTTAACAGGACATTACCTTTCGGCTTTCTCCTAACCTCTCACGGAAAATGGTCTGTAGAGTGCATGGATAACAACAATAAGAAGCATGAACAGTCAGGCAACGTCAGGCTACCCGAAGTCAGGATTTTCAAGATCCGCATTATCGCCTATAATGCAACCTACGAAGCAAGTGCTCTTTTTGCCTTTACGACTATGTTTTATACGAATATTGGCAATTCTTAACATGCTTATTGACAACGTCTATGCCGACGCGGCTTCTAGTTATTTTTATGTACCGAGTTCGACTCTGGTCATGGTACTAGAAACCCCTTCTATCTTACAATATAAAAACGAAATAGGTTACATCAGCAGTGCCTGTTACTATTTTAGTATATTTTAACAGTTGCTTATTTTCACGTCACCTTGCAAAAGCAAATTGCACTAGAAGTATACTTACGCGGTCCTTGATCCGATTTTCTTCTAGTGTTTAGTTGGAACGTTTGTTATTATAATTTTGTACATACAAAGACGGAATGATGAAAATAATGTGTATTCGAAGAGCAATTGGCGAGCATGCGTATACCTTTAATAAATTCTCATCATTCCGTTACATGTATATGGGAGGGGGAGTATCGTGTAAAAGGTAAAATTGTAGGTCAATTACGTTCAACGTTACAGATAAATTAGTCCAAAGAATAGAGGAGGGGGTTGGGGGTAGTAACAAGGGGCGAATTAAGCGGCAATTAGGGAGAGGCGGGGAAAGGGAGAGAGGAGGCGCGGAAAAATGCCGATAGCTAGGTGGCAGTTGGCCATGCTAAGCTTGGAGCTTGCAGCAGATGCTTTTGTGAACATAAAACCGGCTTCCTTAACCGGATTGCGGTTGCTTCTGCTGCTGCTTGCAGGCGCTGACCCAGTGACTTAGGGTAGTTTGGTGTGACTTTGTAGATCACCCTGAAGGCCTCTTTGGGGTCCACCCGATGTCCGGAATCCATCATGTGCGCTAGAGTACAGCTGTTGGTGGTGGTGGTGGTATTGACTTCACCTTTGCTTAGTCATTGCGAGAGGGGTTCCTTTACTCTTTAGGGTGGGCGCCAACTCGTGCGACTCTTGGTGTGTATCCGTTCCTTTTGTCGCTCTATTCAAAACTCTACTTCCGCTAAGTGTAGGTTCTTTTTTCTCGCTTTTAGCTCTACGTTAATGACACAAAGTTGCTCACTCAACCGCACGTGGTACCCCTTTCTGCCGTTTCCCACCTTGCCATTGATGGTGAAGCGGAATTCACGTCAGTGGAGTTCAAGGATCTGAACAGCGAAGCTGAAAGTGCACAGAGTGAGGATATGGCCAGCAGTCGTAGTCACAGTTCCGCCAGTGAAAGCAAGGACCGGCTGCCTGAACTCGCAAGCCAGCCAGGCTTCGTTCGTTTGTCTCAGTCCCGTCGCAGTTACAATCGCAAGCCCGATGATCCAGTCATGGTACCACTAAACTCTAGTATTAGACGCAGAGAATCAGACCTCCATCCGATGAACGGAGCCTGTGAACCGGGGGCAATGGCTGCCTACGTTACTTCGCCTCAGTCGAGTCTACAGGCGAACGCAGCGGGGGCGAACAGCGCCCCGAAGGCAAATACCCTGCCGGTTTTAGCAAGCAAAGATAAGGATAAGCACAG